TCATGGGTCCAGGTTTTAACTTATTCTGATCCATCCACACAAACACATGAGTGAAAAGATGAAGTCAGATATTTTTAAGTGATTAGTGTTACAAGATCTGTCCAATCAAGTTTCCTTGTGGAAGTGATGATGTCAGAAAATGCCACATGTGGGAAAATCATGTCTGACACACATTTTCATTGTTCAGTGCACTCATTTAGCTTATTTACCCACTAGAGGTCATCAGTAGACATGGTGGTGTCCAAAGACACTGAACCAGGATCATTTGCTTGTACTTCTGTCTTCAGCACTGCTGGACTGTTGGACATTTTGAGTCTTCATGTCTGTGATGTTTATGTGCTTTAGATTTTCTGTTGGATTTAAAGATAAAAACATCCTTCTATTTTGGTATTTCTAACATGTGCCTTATGTAAATCCACACACACACACACACTTTGTTGTGTTGTATTACATTTTATTGTGAAGCACTTTGTGATTTTTATCTGTGAAAGGTGCTATACAAATAAACTTTACTTACTTACTACACACACACAGTATACGCCATCTAACGAATGAAAGAAAATGATTAAGCAAATTTCTTACAGGACATAAAGATTACCGGAGGTGATCTTTATGTCCTGTACGAACTCTTCACGGCGCAGCACACTCTCCTCCACAGCGCGGCCGTCTCTTCCTCCACAAACGGAGCCTGACATTAGTGACTGGACCATCGCCCGCTTCCAACAATTCCTCAGAGGGAAAAACATTCCCTCCAACCGCAACATAGCCTCCAGCAATACTCAGGCAACAACAAACACCAGGCCTCGCACAATTCCGGTTCTCCGCCAGGGTCGGCCACGGCCAGTGGCATCACGCATGATGTCACCGCCTCTGCATCCTTCCATACGTTAAGGATACATGTCCCCAGCAAATAACTGAACTCAAGATCCATGTTCCTGCCGGCCTTTTCTTGAAGTGTCAGTATTTACCAGATGCCATCTGCCTGTAATCCATCCAACCGTCCCAGTCTATCCGACATCACCATCCGCACCTCCGACCAGGGGCGGACTGGCACAATAATTCAGGCCGGGCGTTTGACTCCATCCCAGACCCAGCAATTTAACCCGGATACATACTGGAGCGCTCTCAACTCTTAATTCTACGGTCGCATCTATTCAGCTCGTACATCCCTCTCTTGCAGGTCATCGGAGCCCCTCACCCAGCCTCAGCATGCATAGGAAGCGCTCCACTACCCCATTCACGCCCCCTTTTTACTGACGAAACACCCCAGCGTTCACCGTTTCTCACCCGCCACGCCCCCATCTCACATCATCCCTAGGCCCGCAGACTCACATCCTTCTGTTAATATCCCAACGCTAAAGGGAATTGACAAACAGGGCAGGCCAGTTTTCATCAAGCGGGCACGTTGGTCTGCATTAATTCAAACACCGGGGCCGCACTCTTACACTGCAGGCTCTGCATGTCTGCTCCTTCTGCGTAGCAGCACTACTCCATCACACCAGCAGACTCCAGCGCTGCACCTCGGTATGATCATTTCAGTCGCAGTCCTTCCAGACACTCCTCACCCATGCCACGATCTCATTAGAGTTAGACTTCTAGACACCGAGTCCAGCCTTCCTTCCTCAGCACTCACAAACTTACCTCGTCATCACAGCCGCCATCTTTGGGGGTTTTAAGGGTCTAGTGAGTCCACACTCATCCACCCAGATAACACTACACTGCAAAAACTGAGCTCTCAAAAACAAGAAAGAAAAGCATTAAAATGGGGGAAATCTTACTTAAAATAAGCAAAATTATCTGCCAACAGAACAAGAATATTTCACTTGCTACTTAAGGCCAAAAAACTTGAAACAAGTGAAATTCCTCACCTCACTCCTTCGCAGATTCATGAATATCGCTATACATCGGTTCATCCTCAGGACAGCTCGCATTTCTGCCACCACAGGACCATTAGCAATCCATCCTTTCATCTCTTATTCATTTTCAGACACCGGGCCACAGCACCATACTGCATCTTCATCCAATACCAGTCTCACCGTTTCAGCCATGTCATTCTACCAGCTCCACAGCTAAGAAACCTCTCTGACGCGTCACAGGAATCCATCCTCTACAGCATCTGCCCAAGCTTCTCTCAGTTTAATTCAATTCAATCAGCTTTATTGGCACGAATGTATAACAACAATATTACCAAAGCTACAAAGCTCTCAACATACCAACACATAGCATCACGTCACCTTTCATCGGACATTCTCCTCTCAGGACCTCACGTCCAACCGCAATTTCAGCACAAATGCTCTTTCAGTCCAAGTCTGTTCCTCCGCTATAACCCAGGCTCGAGGAACTCAAACCCGACCTTAATCTGACTCTTCTGGGGGCTTGAAATAAACACTTTCGAGACAGAACCCCCACACTAAGTCTCTCTGCCCGGTCTTCTGGACACCCCTTCAGGCCAGCAGCCTATCAGACGACATCCTTCTTCCACCATCACCCTTCCCCTCTATATGCATTATTCCATCCTCTATAATCCATGCATTCCGTATTTGCATGTACCTCTAAATCACACATCGCTGTGGCGTGGTCCTTGCTAGTCAAATCACTGTTGTGTGTCCGTACCAGATCCTACCAGTCCACTTGATTATGTGTTACATGTACATGTGAGTTTCTCAGGTCTCAGTGTTCTGCATTTCTCAGCAAAGAAAAGCAACCTGACTCAAAAGTGAAAACACAACAAAAATTGTTTCCTCCTCTTGTAATTAAAACTCTGCTTTTCATCACGTTCAGTAAAACAGCCTCATTCACAGGTCCAATGTATTCCTGTTCCTTCACTGCACCTGCAGACTGTGTGACATCCTGCCTCAGTTCACACAGAGATAAAGAGTCAGAATGACTGTGAGTGAGTTGCAAACTGTAATTGTTAAAAAAAGATTCCGTTTTCATATAATCCACTTCTTCTTTCTGAAATGTTTCTCAATACTTATATATAATGACTGTGCTCAGCATGAGACTTTTTGCATCCCATACTGCTGCAGCACATCTCTTTGAACTTAAACTGGTATAAAGGTAATTTTTCACTGTCTAAAGATGCACTTGAAGTGTCAAGTGATGCATCAAACCAACTTTTACACCAGTCTTGATTTGGTGCTTAAAATAGGGAGAGTTTAAAAATGTGTTGTATCTGGGATTTTTACAGTGAAACAGGTTTAATACCAACAGGCAAATAACACTACTTTCTTAGTCTGTCTTATTATGTTTATAATTAACAAAATGTTACAACTTTATTGTGATATTGATGTTAACTGGCAGTAAGCTTGTGAATATTAATAATCTAATGAGGAAGGAAATGTAGTCGTTTAACAGCCTGATATCTATCTTCTGCTTACTGACCACAGAGGAAGGCTTCTTTAAAGACAGCATCCTTCTTCTGTAAGTAGAATTGTTTATTGATGTGACTGATACTGTATATCTCCTGTGTACATTATTTTATCTCCTGACATGTTTTATTGTCTCTGAAGCCACACAGAGAGATGAGAGGAGCAGCTATGAGTTTAACTGCAGCAGCGAGAGGATTTGTCGTCTCCCTTCTCTCTGTGTCAGGTACTGAATATCTAAACTTACATTTATTGCATTAAAAGGAAGAATCTGTGAAAATGTGGGTCTTGTAAAAGTAGGCTGAAGGTCACATGTGGAAATAAGTGGATCAGAATTGTGTGAAAGGCAAACTAGAAACATTGGTTTTATTTACAATTGTGGAAACTCCCCAGATTAATACATTTTTATATAGTTGTTGTTTGTGTAAATTTTAATGGATATTAGGACTCTCGTTTTTAACTTCTTTTGGTCTTTCCTTTGCATAAATTATCTGTTTGCTAAGCACTTTTACATGCTATAAATTGATAATATTGTGGGTTTCATTGGTGACTTTTTTCCTGTCACTCTTTAAAAACCTATAGTCCTGTAGGAGGAATTGTTCCATCATTACCACAGCTGTAGTTGCTTCAGTCTTTTCTGTCCTGGTTGCAATCATCTGTAAGAATTCACTATTCAGATGAAAAACCCACTCATGTAAAATATGTCTGTGCAGTTTCTACCTGAACAGCCAGAGGAGCAGGATAACCTTCAGTATGCCAGCATTCACTTCACCAACAACCAGGCAGATCCTCTCTACTCCAACATCAGACCAGCTCGCTCCCTCAGACACACAGAGCAACAAGATTTCATGGACTATGCTGTTGTCACATTTAAGAGTAATACTGCCCCGAGGTGAGCAGCTCTTCTCATATTATCCTCACTACAATTGTTGTAGTCAAGACAACCCAAACCGAGACTATGTGAAGACCAAGACCAGAGTTTATTGAGACTGAGACAAAACAAACTTTTAAGGGCTGAGACCAAGTCGAGACCAAGACCAGTTCCCCACATTACATGACACACAATAAAATGTGGAACGAGATCATAGGTACTTCTCAGGTTGATCTGAAAGATCCACATTCCCAGTAAAACACCCACATACAAACACTAAGAGCTGAAATCAACAAAAGCTTCTTTATTCAACACTCCTTTTCCATGTTTACCATCGCAGGAAGGGGGAACATATTTTTAAGTAGGATTATTGGTTGCATTTGAAGCAATACGTTTTTTTGTAGTACTCGAGACCAAGACCGGTCTCGAGTACTACAACACTACTCACTGCAAGATTCAGATGACATAACAAATGAAATAAATGTGTTGATTTGTCATTTCCCCTGTTTTTTATATTTTAAACTCTAAAACACTGTTGGGATGTGATGGTAATTATATTTTTTCAAACAATATCTTCTTTTTTTTCAGATCCAGAGGTCAGGAACCTGGAGAGGATCCATCTGCATTGTACAGCACAGTCAACGACCAAAACATATATGCATTTATGATAATTCTGTTTCTTTTTTAGTTCTTTCTTTTAGTTAATATTTTTCTTGGGATATGCCTCTCCAAATTTACAAATGAATTATATGCCCTAGAGAAACTTACTTTGTTTTTAGAATATGTAAAGTATTTGACTGCATTCACCTGTAAATATAATTTGTCTGACTTTTTGTAACATTTAGTCTTTTCATGTAACTTTTTTTTGAAAAATAGGTCTTATACTATCAATAAGACTGCATCATGTTACTTTTTTCCACACTGATGCAGCACAACAATTTGAACCCATGGTGTGCATCCAAGCGATGCATCAAACTGTTTCCTTCTGTTCCTGTTTAGTTTAGCATCACTGACAGACCCTAAACTATGACCACATTTACGATAAGATTTCCTTAGATAGTCTTTGTTGTTTGTTGGATGTTCTGAAGTGCCTCAAAACTAGTTTGTTACACTCTCTTAAATAGATAGACAGAAAGTTCATAGTTTGCAAAAACAACAAAGCAAGTTACTTTTTAGTGTGAACTTAAGTCTACTTGTATATTTGGTTCATTATTCATGTAAATGATGTAAAGAGGAAGGAAGTTGGGAGGATTTTACAGAGTAACGTTGTCTTTTCAAGATAACTTCCTTTCATGTTAGGTAGAAGTGTTTTTGATGCGAATGATTTACTTCTGTGGACATTATTTAGCTGCAGACATCTTTTAATGTCTCTGAAGTCACACAGCGAGACGCGAGGAGCAGATATGAGGTTAACAGCAGCAGCGAGAGGATTTGTCGTCCTTCTCCTGACTGTACCAGGTGCTGTATATCTACATTTATGTATTTACATTTAGTCAGAGCAACCTGAAGTGATTATAAGAAAGAACATTTAATTAAATTATTCATTCTGAGATCTCCATATTCCTATATTTGACCTGTTTTATGCAGTGTGATAATTTAAAACACCTTAAAACTCTGACTGCAACACCAACATTAGCTTTTGGACTCAGTGCTTCTACTTGGATGTTAAATGTCTGTATCTGGTTTGGTAGCACATAGTGGTTTGTGGATTTAATTGGATTTTTCACATATAATCTGTGTGTGTGTGTGTTGTGTACGGATAAGGCAAATCAATTTTTAAATAAATTGTGATATACCCTTGAATTACTCATAATTATTAAATATGTGATAAAGGAAAATACACTAAAATACTAATTTATGATGCAATTTATAAAGATTTACTCAGGTGGTCTCCATGTTTACTGGGAGTCTCACTTAAAACACTATTTCTATGTATTTATTCACCTTTGTATTAATTACCTTATTTATTTATTGCCCTTTATAATCTTCAACTTAATTGTTTTTCAAATGTATTTTTTAATTTTAATATTTTTGTTAATATGTTTATTATTCTTCCTTTGCATTTTCTACCCTCTTTATTATGGCATTTATTTTGTCTCCTCTTTACATTTAACTATGCATTTCTGCCTCATTACACACATTAAATAATTTTGATTTGATAATCTGTCATAATTTTCTGTAGTCCATGGCCAGTTTCAGAAAGCAGGATTACTAGAAGTATGTTAAGCCTTAGATGAGGGAAACTCTGCGTTATCAGTTTAAGAGACGAGATCAGAAAAAAAAACGAGATCAGTAACTCCAGCAATTTATGCTGTAAAGCTAAGCTGCTCGGGAGAAGGTTTTCTTCAACAAATGCTGAGTTTCTCTGACTCTTCCCCTCCTGCGGAGCCTGAAGCAGCGGTCTGACGCAGCGTTTCATTTCCTCATTCATACTGTCGATACCAAAGCAGAAACTGAAAACATTCATTTGCAGAAGTTTTTGCAAACGTCAAAGTCCCAGTTAGATATAGGTTCCGTACCCAAACATGATCTTCAACATGATCAATCTGTCATCAATGTAAGGACTGAGACAGCGACATTGTGGATTCATCCTCAGCACAGATAAAATCTATACGGGCTACTCTGTCCTTCTGTGTATCACTGTGACTCTGTGGACATTAAGGCAGCAACAGTTACACTGAAACATTTAGTGGCCTACACTACTGCAGTAATCACTGTTTCAATCAAACTAATCTATATGCCTGTAGCCTAACTGATCAATGAACAATCATTTGTCATGTTTAGGGCTGTCCCTAAAGCTAAACTGAGGCTTATTTTTGACCTCTCTCTCTCCCCTCTCTCTCCCTCCCTCCCTCCTGCCATTCACCGGTCTTGTGCAGAGTTTTACGTGCATGCCGTGCTGCCGACAACTGCATGCGCGTCGCGGTTCCTCGCGGGTCTAAAAACGATATAATATTCTTTGTGTGGTTCATCAACGGTGACAAATTATCCAAAAGTCCCGCGACAACTCGGCACAACACCGGTGAAGCTGGGGCTCCATCTTTTCAGCAAGTGTTCCTCTTCTGCCACACAAACATACAAGCTACGCCTACACATGACGACCCAGGGTTACAATTTTGGATTTATTTACGCACTTTAAAAACATTTATTGAAAGTGTTTTTCTTTACACATGTTTAGTTAAAGAATCAAACATTGAAATGTATATTGTAATTGGCTGTATATTAACTTATTGTCAGAAAACTGGTGGTTCTATGTAAAATTAAACGTTGACACTAACATATAGACAAAATTGCATGTTTCGCTGCGAAGCTTCGAATCAGGCTCCACCCATAGAAGCATTGTATCTAAATGTGAAATGAGCATAATTTTTTTACATAAAATAGGCTGGACGTCTAAAACATTACAGTCAGTTTGAACAGAGACACATTTTCAAATGCAAATGACCAAAATTATTATTACTGGGTCAGACTAATCATAGGTCCATGACTAAACTGTGTCTTATCTATATTTTCATCTTCAGTTATTGCCAGTGGTATTTTGTCCCTGTCAGGTTACAGGTGAATAAATATAATTAAAATCCAATGCAACATTACAGAAATTCAAGTCTGGTAAATGATGAATGAGCAGACTACGCTGAATAAAATGTATTATTGTTAACTAAGTGACTCCTTTCATCCTGTGATTTAAGAGAAACATCATGGTCCACGTTTTGAGCATCACTGGGTTAAAATAGAGGCTTGTTTACCTGTTGCCATGGTGAATCGTCCTATCAGATCTCCATTGATGATGCTTTTTTAAATTCCCCCTGCACACACAGGGACCCTGGATCAGCTATCAGCTATATCTGATGTTATGGGGAAGGCCTTCAGTCAGCAGCCATACCACAAAGTGAATTTATTTTTTAAATTAGACGGATTTGATGACTTGATCTTTAAAAACTGACAGCTAGTCAACAATAGTTACGTCTGTGCCATCATCCCCTCCATGAGACTTCAGAGTTAGGGTGTATGATCTCCAACAAATATTTAATACAAGGTTTTAGTGAGCAAAAAGTAAATAAATGCTCCTCCGATTCCCCCCTAATGTCCTTTTCTATGTCTTAAATGAATGGACCGAAGCTGTAGCACCAACATTGATAAATATTCCTATTGTATCAATAAAAACTGAAACACCTGATGAAATACGTTATTCTTTTTCAGTTCTAGTTACAGAGATACGTTTTTGTGACACTGCTTATCCAGGATAGCTGTTCCCAAAAACACGCTGGTACCTTGATCCTCTTTGTCTTACAGGATATTACATAGAACCTACACAAGTTGTCCAGTCTTGTGCCATGGAGAGCCGACAGTCTACAGGTTTTCTCCCCTCTGCCTCTAAAAGTCTTAAAATGACATGAAAACCTGTAGACTGTTAATTCTCCATGGCAAAGGGTTTGACTCCCAACGCAGTTTTGTACATGTGCAGTAGTTCAGTTAAGTTTTACAAAAATAAATATATGAAAATAAGTTTGTTCTCTGATGTTTTGAATCTGATTTTGGTTTCTGATGTCATCTGTTTTTCAGTGGTACAGAGTCAGAATGGCTGGGGAGTGACTTACACTCCAACTCAGATCTGTGCCTTAAAAGGATCAACAGTGGACATAAACTGTACCTACACATATCCATCCAGCTTAAATAATCATGATACCAAAGTTCAGGAAACATTCTGGTTTACGAAAGAGGGTAATAATGTTCAAGTGGATCTGAAAACGGACCCAGAGTATTCAGGTCGTGTGGAGTATATTAGTCAGAACAAACGCTGCACTCTGAGAATCACAGACCTGAGAGAGAGCGACTCAGCTGAGTACAAGTTCAGGTTAATAACAAACCAAGAAAGTGGGAAATATACTGGTTCACCTGGAGTCACTCTGTCTGTCACAGGTAACATTTTCATCTGAATATTTATCAGTTTAGTTTCATGTGTTCAACATCTTGTGAAGGTTACTTGCATCTGTGTGCTTGTATGTGTTGACAGTTAGAAATGAAGATTTCTGTTGTTCATGTATTCAGATCTGCAGGTGCAGGTGAGCAGATCAAAGTATTCTCCCTGGGCAGAGCTGAAGTGTCACAGCAGCTGTCGTCTACCTGGCCATCCTTCCTACATCTGGTACAAGAACGGACAGAAAATTCAGGAAGAAACATCTACATATTCAGGCCCCTTTGATCTGCAGGCAGCTTTTCCTGTGCTGTACGAGGATATGAGAAGTCCCACTCTCCTTCAGTGTGTGAGTTTACATCCAGTCTTCCACTGACATGACACCATCTGGTGGAGTAGTGTAACTAATGCTGTATCATGAATATATGTGTCTTTAATGGGTGACAGTAATTGTGTGTGTGTTTGTGCAGTTTAGTTCACTCAAGCTTTTTGTTTTAATTTTTAAGCACTAGTTCCACAACAATTTGAATGAGGGATACTTTCCCACAAAATAATTATTAGCAAATAATTAGTAAATATAAAAGAAAAAAAGGAAATCAGCTTTTACTATAAAGGTGTGTAATTGGTTCAGGAAACACCAGAAGAAACACAAAGTCTTCAGAATTTTTGTGACCACAGCAACTCTGGACAGCAGCAATAATCAAACATCTAAAAAAAAATGGAAATGTAATCTGTTTTTCTTTCTTTAATTTCTTCCTGAATAAATGATTCTCTTTAGGATTGAACTATCAACAACAAAAGACTGTTTAACAAAAACATTTTAAAGTTAATGTATGTTAATATCTCCTGCAGATGCTCCAAAGTTTCCCTCCGTGTCAGCGAGTCCCTCTGGTGATTTAGTGGAGGGCAGTCAGTAAATCTGACTTGTAGCTGTGATGCTAAGCCAGCAGCTAACTATATCTGGTACAAGAGGACTAAAAATCCAGACCATGAAGATCTCAGTAAAGAACCACAGCTTGTCTTCAGCTCCATCCAGTCCTCTGACTCTGGAGAGTATTACTGTGCAGCTGAGAACCAGCTGGGGAGGAGGACATCTGAATACATCTTTATTAATGTGAAATGTGAGTGAAACACAGGTTTAATGCTATTGAGAGATTAAATACACTCTAAAAATATCATCACAGTATAACATCATGTCAAGTGAACTTCTGGGATATCAATCTGTCCAGTTAGGAAGAATAAGTAATTGTGAATCACCTGTTTTTGGAGCGGCAACAGCAAGACAACCCCCCAAAAAATGAATGGTTTTGCACGTGGTGGCCGCAGACAGTTGTTCTCTCCTTACCCTTCCTGACTGATTGTTCTTTAGTTTTGCATTTTGTTAGCGTCCTCGTCACCACTGGTTGCATGACGCAATATCTGCAGCCCATTCAAGTTGCACAGGTAGTCCAGCTCCTCCAGGGTGGCACATCCATATGTGCCATAGGAAGTGCAAAACTAAATCTCTGGAGTATCCCTTTAACTCGACAACGAAAAGATTTTACCTGCCTGCTTCAAGTTTTCTGCTGTAATTCACTGAGCAGCTTCAGTACATTTAGACCACGATCAACTTTCTATATCCTGCCAAATATGCATCAACTTATGATAATCTATATTCATGTAATACAGATGCTCCAAAGCTTCCCTCTGTGTCACTGAGTCCCTCTGCTGAGATAGTGGAGGGCAGTTCAGTGACTCTGACCTGCAGCAGTGATGCTAACCCAGCAGCTAATTATACCTGGTACAAGGAGAATGAAGACTCACCAAAAGCATCAGGACAGAACTTCACCATCACTGACTTCAGAGCTGAACACAGTGGGAATTATTACTGTGAAGCCCAGAACAGAAGAGGACGTCATAACTCCACCTTACATCTGACTGTTGTGGCAGGTACGTTTTTCACTTCACTTACACATGTACTCATCAGACATCTTAATGAAAAGTGGGGAGATTAAGGGGTGCAATTAAATGAGGCCCTATGTGAGTTAAACCGTCCATGTGACACTTCTAGATTCCTGGATCTCTGCAATAAACTTGATGAGAACAATGTTATCATAAGCAGTCTAAGGTTAAAATCAAGGGCAACTGGACTTAGTTGAAGATACTAGAAGGTAGGGAAACTCAGCTGTTTAACCTCTGTGGGGTCGTTTGCCAAGATGATCGATACTGCTGGTTCTTAGTGCTCCTGGCATTTGTAATAACAGTCGTTATGGTCATTAGAGTCACCTGAGGCCAAGTCTGAATGACCATCGTTGGCATCCTCACCTGAGGCCAAAAGTGAACGTTTGTTAAGTTTCCTGGGAAGGGATGAAAGGACAGCATTGTAAGTGGGGGACAAGTGGTGTCGCAGACCCCCTCCACTGTTAAGCAACGGCTTCTCAACACGGGTGTAAATGAATATCTTCACACCTCTTTCAAACCGACCATCCTCTCTGTCTAAAATTTGCACTTTTATCCTTCAGATGTAGGTAAACTGCTGGGATCTGACCTGAGGATTTGGCCCTTCAGTGTTGAGCCATGCGTTTGTTAGTGGTTGTTTAGTTTCCTCAATATACAGATCTGTGCATTGCTCACTGCATTGGACCACATACACTAGATTGCTTTTCTCGTGTTTGGTGTGCGGTCTTTAGGGTGAACCAGAATCTGTCTTAGCGTGTTCTTGGGTTAAGAAACACAGGGATGTGGTGTTCGCTGAAAATCCTCCTGAGTTTCTCTGATATTCCAGACACATATGGAATCACAATGTTGCTGCGTTAGATCTTCTTTTCCGTATCCCCTGTAGTGTTGGTGTTCTTCCTCGATCTTGTGGCTGTTTTCCCCTGTTTTAGTTCTTATAGGAGCCGAGACACATTGTAAAAAAGGGCTGGGTGAAGTGGAATACAGTTCAGAGTAACTGAGCTTTGCACTGCCTTATTTGAAACTCCCAGTTGTTTGCACCTCACCTGCAACATTTGCACTAAAATACCAAACAAACAGGCAAAGTGAATTTCAAGTCAGAAAAATACTGCAGCTTTGTTCGCACTATTGTTGTTCTGTTCACAAAAATTAGGAAAGCTAAAGTCATTGATTCAAGCTGTCAAAATGAGGCAGATTTTCATTTAGAGGAGAGATTTGAGATGATGCCAGGGTGTCCAGATTTAGCCATGCACATGTGACTGAGAGAAGGTCATAGGACAGACCAGGGAGACAGTAAAGGGGTTAAGTCTTCCTGCTGGCCAGGGGGAGCTTGGGGATACAGGAGGACATTGTGTAATGTAATGTGTCTTTTAAGATGGCAAAAGATCTTTCAAAAGAACATACATAATACATGTGCAAAGAAAAATATTTTTGTTATATCACGCTATGTGGCCAAACATCTGAACACACTCAAATGAGTCATTTTGTCTTATTCCAGTGTTCCCAGGAGTATGGAAATCAGCAGTCTTTGGAACAACATCTGCTGTTTTCCTGGCTATCATATGGCTCTCTGTCCTCCTACTGATAGGGTGAGTAGATTTGTTTTACTGATGCATTTTACATTGAATACCAGAGTCTTGTTAGCAGCCAGGTTGGCAGATGAATTATTATTTCCTTGGTTTTTAATTCATTCTAACCAGGAAAAAGAGATCCTCCAAGCAATCATCTGAGCCTGGAGATAGACCAGACGACAGGGAACAGGATGACCTTCATTATGCCAGTTTCCACTTCTCCAATAACCAGACAGATGCTGTCTACTCCAACATCATACCAGCTGTCCCCCGAAGACACAAGGAAGAGGAGGAGGAGGAAGTTGTTGAGTACGCTGGCGTCAAATTTAACAGTGCCAGTACTGCCCCAAGGTGAGCAGCTCCTCTCACAGGAACATTATCCTCACTAAAACCTCAACATGGCATGCAGTTAATGGAGCTGATGATCAAGTATTTCATTTTAACACTTTCATTCCTGTTGCATTTGCTTGTTTTCTTTACATTTTCACTATCACTGTTTGTATTTGTGAAGGAATTTAAGGGTACTATGACCCAGGTTTCCGCAGGTCATGATAGGGTCAATTGCTGAGCTAAAGGAAGCCAAAGGTGACAGCCAGGGCCTCTCCAAAACTGTAGGCCAGACTCTGTCTCTCCTCTCTGCCTGCTTGTCGGCTGACTGATGCAGCTGAGTTGATAAGGATGCACTGTTATACATCTGTTAGGAAACCCAAGGTCAAGATTATCTTTATGTTGTCTCATTACAGACTGACTGGCTATGTAGAAAAGGACACTTATTTGGACACTTAGTGAATCTGTGTAGGTCTAGGAAGGATAAATATCAGACAGGAAGTAGCCTTCAGATTTGGTGTTGGCATTTCATGTGTTCACATGTTGTGTGCCGGCACTGCATCTCCTCGGCCGAGTCTCATTAAACCATGCTGTGTAAGCCTTCATCAGTCTCTTGAAACGTCTTCATCACACCTGAACCTGGCTCACAATATTTTCACAACAGTTTGAGTTAATACTATATCTTTATCTTTTTTTCTCAGGACCAGAAGTCAGGAAACTGGAGGATCCAGCTGCATTGTACAGTACAGTCAACAAAACTGCTGAACGCAACCAGAACGTCTAATCTGTGCTTTCTGTCATTTTTAAATGTGCTAGGCTCTAGGGATGGCAAAGTTAGTCTGTGGTTGGTTAGTTAGTTTTGCAGTCAGTTGGTCTGCCACTTGCAGAGTCCATACTGAAATAGTTCAACAACTATTTTTTACTGACATTTATGGTTCCCAGAGGATGCATCCTACTGACTTTGGTGATCCCGACTTTAACCCTGCACCAGAACCAGGGTGTCATTTTAGTTTTTTGTGACATGTCTTGACAACTATTGGATGGATTGAAATGTGTTATTTGCTTCTTTGGTTTATGACCAAATACCTGAAAAACTAATGACATTCCCAGCATCCTCAGCTGTACTTTCTGTTTAGTGCCAATTAACAAATGTTAGAAACTAACACAACTAACATGGTGAATATGATAAACATTATACCTGCTAAACAAAACTAGAACCCACTTGTAAAACCATGTCTCCATAATGCTAGTGATAAAAAAAACTCTGCAGGATACATTTTAACCTTATTAAAGATTAATTTAGACCTAGCAAACATTTTCCTAATTCTTCTACAGTATAGCTTCAGACATACTTTATCTCTGTAGTACTGCATCAGATATCTAATAGGAGGTAAGCTGTAATTACTATTTTTTATTTAATTGTAGTATAAAGTTGCTATTTAAAAGCTCATTGGGAGACAGAGAAAGAGGAGAGAGGAACATGATTTAGGTAATCTAGTTGTAATTTCCTTCTGTTGTCACTAGATTGTAGTCAAGAGCCATATTTTAGATCCCATAATGTGCACGTCTCTCTTATCTGTGTAAACAGTTTATTTTCACCACATTGTTACTCTCCTCTTTTTTTTTTTACCAGTTCCATTATTACAGTTTTTAATTCGGTGATTATTTCCGGTTATTTCCGCTAAATTATATTACATCTCATTACAGTTGTCTGTCTTGCTTCCTTTTTAATTCCTTGTTATTGTGGTCCATCTCCTTTGTTCTGTAATGTTTTGTTTTGCCTAAAATAAAAACATGAAATGCTCACCAGTCATATCTACACTGAGGCCACACTGAGTACATATTGCTTCATTTTAAGAGGTTACAAGCAAAACAGGCAGGCGCACAATGGACTGGACACTAACATGCTGGAGTTTCAGTCCAGCAGGAGAAGCTTAACAAAGTGACAACATCTGTGTACAGCGGACAATTTCAGTCTGTCACAGTCAATAGAAGAACTGCATGTGAACTAAACTAACAGCCACAGTCCTCTGATGTAGTAAATACAAATAGTTAAATTTGTGTTGCAAATTGTAACATCTACACGAGGACGTCATAACTCCGTCAGGACAGAACTTCACCATCACTGACATCAGACCTGAACACAAATATTACTGTGAAGCCCAGAACAAAAGAGGACGTCTTAACTTCACTTTACATTTGACTGTTGTGGCAGGTACGTTTTTCACTTCACTTACACATGTACACATCAGACATCTTAATCCACCATATGATGAAAAGTGCAACTTGCTGAGTAGAAACCAGTAAGGCATTTTGTCATAACACTATTTCAGCAAATAATTTACTTGTAAACGTGATTAAATACATTTCGGATAGAATCTAATTATATGCAGGTTTCATGAAAGAGGTACATTGAGCTTCATTTTGTCGTCTCTCCCATCAGTTAGACTCTGATCCTGCGTATAAGAACGTCTCAGACTTTAAGAGCGTCACTGCAGCACAGACAGAAGACACAGAGCAGCAGGAAGACATGGTGTGAAGTCCAGTCAGGTTAGAGCCTCCTGCATCAAATAAAACAGGCGACTTCAGATTTCAGACTTCAGACAAAGTAGGACAACATGGTGGTGTTAGCAGGTTGAACTGAATCATGATGACCTGTCAGCCGATAGACAGGTGATGTTTGACATGATTAAATTATGTAAGCTTATTATTTCCTGCAGAGTTTGTTATATTAGTTAGTTATGTCAGGAATGTGAGGAATAAAGTTGTTATGGAAACTGTTATTTTGAAATTATACCTAAGAAATAACTTATTGACTCATGAGGAGCTTCTGTGTGCATTTCAGCTTTTCTGCTTATTTTCCATAATATTATTTAATTTACCAGACAAATAAAATCTTGTCTTGGCTTATTGCTCACACAGTCAGTTCTTGTCACTATAAGGATGAAATGTGCCACAGTGTAACAGATTATTATGATTTGGGATGTTGCTGATATAAAGATGCACAGACAGTTTAATGAAGAGGAATTCAGGAACATTCATTTCAGCTGTAAATGTCAATTTAGTCCACTTAAATTGTTTGGGGTCATTCATAGAAACTTAATTTGAAGCTTTTCAGAGCAAAAGCCCTTCATTAAGAGCTTCTATGAGCCTTCATTCAGCAAGTTCGTTACAGAAGTTAAAATGATGGTAAGAACAACAAACCAATAGTTTCAATAATAATCTGTCTATCACAACATCCAGCTCTTCATAATGTGTAACAGACTGCTGGACAGGACAGGTTAAAAAAACCCACAAATCAACATGTTAAGAATATTTTTTATTACTTTTTTGCATGAAAGAATATACCGTTAAGAATAACAGTGTAAAAGTAAAACCACTAACACTTACCTGATTATCCATATCATCAGTGAGTGTATGTGTATTAACTAATGTAATACAGCTGTGAAGTAACAATATTGGTGTACTGTCAGTAAGTATCAGGAAAATATGGAATTGAGAGTATTTGTCATGCTCAAGTTTATCTTCATGGTAAAGTGAGTTTTTGAAGCCATTTTCATCAGTCAATTAGTTAAAAGTTGCATCGTACAGTTTCAGGGCTGTGTGTCTTTATAGAGGCACAATGAGCATCAACTTTCTAACTTTGGTGACTCTCAGTGATAAGCAGCAAAGAAAATACACTGTGGTGTTAGAGAGAAATGCACACCGGTAGATCTGACCTGGGGATAATGGGGTGGACAGGCTGAAAGCAACACACAGTCTGGAGCTGCAATGATTAATTGCCAACTATTAAATTTATCGCCAACTATTTTGATAATCCATTCATTGGTTTGAGTAATTTTTTAAGAATAAAAAAGTCAATACTCTCTGATTCTAGCTTCTTAAGCATGAATATTTTCTGCTTTCTTTATCCTCTATGACAGTGAACTGAATATGAAAAAAAACAAGACATTTGAAAACATTATCTTGGCTTTGGGAAATACTGGTCAACATTTTCAGATATTTTGTAAACCAATCAACAACTCGATCAAGAAAATAATCGACAAATTCATCAAAAGTAAAAATAATCCTTAGTTGGACGCCTAACAAAGACTTTACCAATTTTCAGTGAGATTGTCTCATTTTGCTATGAACAACACTATATACCCTGCACTTCCTGTATCTACTGGCACTAATAATTAACTGCCCCAAAAGTAAACTTCAATTTGACCTAACAATCAGTGATGGTAAAATGTTTCAGCGTCCTGATTCAGGATCTGTGATGTTTCACTGCCCTCTAGTGGTGAACCTTTGTTGTGGCACATTCAGGCTTCCTCACTCTGAGAGCTCCCTCCACTGCCTGTTTCAAAGAGTCACTTCACACAAATTACAAGAAGACATATTTTCTGTCTTACCTCCAGCAGCATCTTGTCAGATGTGCTCTGTGTTACAGTGACACAGAGTCACAATGACTGTGAGTGAGAGAGCTGCAAAATGTAATTCATTGTTTCTGATCTACTTTTCTTACATGTTTCTCAATACTGAATAAACACTGAGCTCAGCACGTGACTTTTTGCATCCCATACTGCTGCAGTCCATCTCTTTGAACTCATACTGGTATAAAGGTTATTTCACTGTCTAAAGATGCACTAGACCTTTCTAGTGATGCATGAAACCAACTTTCACGCCTGTCTGTTCTCTTTTCTCTTTTTGAATGGTCTTTTCTTGTGTCAGTGGGAAGCAGCAAACAGGTTTAATACCAACAGGGCATAATAATATTTTCTTATTCTCTCTTATTAAGTTCTTAGTTTGCTTTATTTTGATGTTGGTGTTAACTGGCATTTGGCTCATCATGAATATTAATAATCTAAAGAGGAAGGAAATCTAGTAGTTTAACAGCCTGATATCCGTGTTCTGCTTGCTGACACAGAGGAAGGCTTCTTGAACGACAGCGTCCTTCTTCATTGTAAGTAGATTTATTGATGTGACTGATACTGTATATCTGCCTTGTAAATTATTTTATCTGCTGACATGTTTTATTGTCTCTGAAGCCACACAGAGAGATGAGAGGAGCAGCTATGAGTTTAACTGCAGCAACAAGTGGATTTGTCGTCTTCCTTCTCTCTGTGTCAGGTACTGAATATCTAAACTTACATTTATTACATTAAAAGGGAATCTGGGAAATGTATGTCTTGTAAAAGTAGGCTGAAGGTCAGATGTGAAAATAAGTGGATCAGAATGAAGTATCAGGATCAGTTGTTCACACTGTATGATGAAAACAGCCAGTTTGGGTGGTATTTCCTAATTTCATTGTGAACAGTGTGAGTTCATTTTTCCAGAGCTGATGCTGCCTAAACGATGTTAGCACTATGCTGTGTTATTGTCGCATTGAATGAAGACATGCAATGCAATTTAACGCACCAAAGCGTCGGCTTGTTCCATTATCCAACTTGTACAATGGAAATTAGACAACAAAGTGTAAACCGGAAACAAAGACTTCAAATAGTTCCTATTTGAAGCTACTTTTATCACAGTGAAGGTTTTAGAGAGATAGGCCTACTGGTCTCACACAGTGAAGTCATACTGACACAACTTCTCTCATATCTTCATCTGCTAGTTCCTTTTCCTTTTTGTCTGTCTGACCTCAGTGTGATGTTTCTGTGCTCTGTGTTGACAGCAGCAAGGTCCAAAAATAACTTTCTTTACTGCCTGCCACTGTGACAAGCAGGTATTTTTTGTCTAACACACAGAAATTGTCAAATTTTAAACACAAAAAACATTGTGCATGTCTTTTAGTACATGACATTAATTTCACTTAACCTAACAATCACTAACAGCCTGATATTTCAAAGGTAACGTTACAGATGACAGGAAGCCTAACAGTCAGTTAAACCACCAATGAATGGGTCCATATCTCAATAAAAACGTCTTCTTCTGGATCCCAACAAGCAAATAAAAAATACTCCTTTCAATACAAAAGTTGGCCAACGAAAATAAAACCAAGTGATGTCTCTTGTCTCTGATTGACAAGCTTATGATTCTCCATCAACACCGGAGTTCCCTCCTGTTGTCTGGCCGGTGCTGCTGGTAAGCTCACCGGCTGTCACTCAGGAGGGACTGGGCCTCTTCCACTGCTGAGTTTGGTTCAAACACCGCCACAGATATTACCTGAGCTGACTGCTCTGTGTGTCTTGTGTGTGAGGCAGGGGTGTGTACCGATCACCATAATAGGCTACACTAAACTTACTACACGTGTCTTTCTGTTGAACGTTTTCTCTGTCTGCCAAAATGGCGGATGGTCTGACGATCTGCCAAAAATTTACCCTCATTCAGCGGGTGCTAAAGTCAGAGATCTTGATAGCAGTTTTCTGCATCTTATATTTAGCTGCTAGAAACTCTCCCACACCTCAGTGCGCTGTATTTATTTTTAGCTTTCACACTTAACTCAGCAGCAACCTGACCGCAGAGTGAAGAGAGAGAACTGACCAAGAAAAGCACAGACTCTCTAATAATTTATATTTCTCCTCTTATCCCGGTCAGTAAACTGCATTAAAGGTCACAGGTCTGATACTTTCCTGTTCACTTCACTGCACCTTCAGACTGGATGATGTCCTGCCTCAGTGCACATAGAGATGAACTGTAGAAAGCATGTGTACATCTTCCTTTGCACTGACTGTGAATAACTGAGCAAGACTTTGTGTTTAGACTTCTCTCTGTTCACCCTAGTTTTATTCAGAAATAACATCAAAAGTCATAAAGCTTTAAGTAATTAGAACAGGAGTTAGGAAGTGCTGGAAGAAGAATGATACAGAACAACTGAGTATTTTATGTACCACTGTTCTGCTGCTTTCTCCCAGAAAAGAGAGTAAAATGTCATTTTATTAACTTTCTGTTTGGATTACTTGTGTGTTGACACATAAGCTTTTCAGGCATTTCTGTTTAGATTTTTTTGAATGAATGGACCCAAGCAGAAACACCCAGAAGTAACTTGTCACAACATTAAAATGTGACAAACACCTTATAAACTTTCTGTGACAATGACTGCAGATAATTCAGGATTTTGAAGCTTGTCCAGGTTACGTTTCCCTCAAACCATATTGGTAGTTTGATCCACTTTGTCTGTTATTAATGTTGATTGTTTCTGATGTGCTCTGTGTTACAGTGGTACAGAGCCAGAATGACTGGGGAGTGACTTACACTTATACTGAGATCTGTGCCTTCAAAGGATCAACAGTGGAAATAAGCTGCACCTACAGATACCCAACCACAAACAATTACCATTATACAGTTGAGAAAACATTCTGGTTTAAAGGTGATGAAATTGTGGATCTGAAAACAAAGTCAGAGTATTCAGGTCGTGTGGAGTATAACTGTCATATGAACCGCTGCTCTCTGAGAATCACAGACCTGAGAGAGAGCGACTCAGCTGAGTACAAGTTCAGGTTCATAACAAACCAAGAACTTGGGAAATATACTGGTTCACCTGGAGTCACTCTGTCTGTCACAGGTAACATTTTTATCTGAATATTTATTTATTTAGTTCCAAATGTTCAACATCTTATGAAGGTTACTGTGTTTCTATGTTGACAGTTCAGTCTAAAGTTAAGATTTCTGTTCCTTATTCACATATTCAGATCTCCAGGTGCAGGTGAGCAGATTACAGGAGTCTTCTAACTGGGCAGAGCTGAAGTGTCACAGCAGTTGTCTTCCACCTGGTCATCATTACTACGTCTGGTACAAGAATGGACAGAACATTTGGGGACAAACATCTAATTCTTATTCAGCCTACTTTGATCCTGCAGACAGTTTTTCCTGTGCTGTAGGAGGATATGAGAAGTCCCGCTCTCCTTCAGTGTGTGAGTTTACATCCAGTCTTCCACTGACATGACACCATCTGGTGGAGCCTTTAACCTATTGTACTGCACATTAACTGCATGTAACTCAGTGGTATTTGGTGATTCATTGTAGAACTGGATGAAAACCAAATCATTTCCCCATGAGATTGTAGACATGTTGCATAATTATTTTTTATTCACTGTCTTTACTGCAAAATTAAACTGTAAAATAACTCACAATGAAAATGTATTAAAACAAGATTTATCTTGTCATTAGACTGTTTAAATTCTCTGGATCAGATAAAACTTCTGCAGCATCAGAGAAATTCCCTGATTATCTGTTCTTGTATCTTTAATGTATCAAAGTGTTCAACTTGTATCCATGGTAACAGAAACCCATGCTGTTTCTGATACACGAGGAAATCAAGCTGCACCACCGAAATGAAATAATGCTCCACTGTGAAAATTCAACCTCATCTTGAAATTAAATGTTAAAAGTGTTCATGTTTTCTCCTCCAGATGCTCCAAAGCTTCCCTCTGTGTCAGTGAGTCCCTCTGCTGAGATAGTGGAGAACAGTTCAGTGGCTCTGACCTGCAGCAGTGATGCTAACCCAGCAGCTAATTATACCTGGTACAAGGAGAATGGAAATCAAAACCTTCATCCTCTCGGTAAAGAACCACAGCTTGTCTTCAGGTCCATCCAGTCCTCTGACTCTGGAAAGTATTACTGTGCAGCTGTGAATGATCTGGGGAGGACATCTGGATTTGTCTCTATTAACGTGAAATGTGAGTAAAATGCAGCTAATTTAAAAAACATTATACAATTAATGACAACTTCTTAAAGCTTAATTATCCAGTCAAATGTTTTGCTGATCATGCACTTTCTTCAGCTCTGCCTGTTTCACATTCACAGCGGCTACAACAGATTATTAAAGGCGGTTTCATTTCGAGTGAACGCTGAGTCAATGTTGAGCTCAGCTCAATGAATAGAGGGGTAGTACTTTTCTCATTGATACCTTGAATAATTTCCAAAATATTCAAGATTTTCCAGGAACACTTTGTAAGTGAATGGAGAGAAGGATTAAATCCTCTTTCATCCCTACTCAACTCTGTAAGGGTACTAGTTCAGCACACTTTCAGCTACAGACTTGATTTAAACTTTAAATTGGTCACAAGATGCCAGGTCCGGATTGGGACCAAAATTCATCCTCGGCAATGTGGTTTTCACCGGCCCAACAAAGTGATGACGTTAAAAAAAACCGTCCCCTGAATCTGGACATTTTCCCCACTGAGACACCATACAAGGCAGCAATGACTCTCACACTGTAGGCGTACACGGCAAGGCGCATAGACTGCAGTCTATTCAAACACATTCACACGCACACACGAGCATGACACAGCAGCCAGACGCACACACGAGCATGACACAGCGACCAAAAACACAAGCACACACACACGCGTGGCGTAGCGGCCAGACGCACACAACACACGTGATTAAGAAAGATAAAGCACCATGACCAATCAGTTATGACCAAACCACAATAAAATACATGATAAAAAGAAGCATGTCCTACCTTATTAAATCAGCAGCCGTTGCATCAGCGCTCTTCTCTGCCACCCTTTTAATGATGCAATCCGTGTCCAAAGAAACCAGAGTCTCCTTTTCGATTGCCATCATAAGCTTCGCTCACATGCAACTTGTGTCACAGACAGAGTTAACAGAAGCTTGTATCACAGTCCGATTAGATGGTAGGAGTCAGTGAGCAGGTTATGCCTTTGTAGGACATAATAACAACAGAAGGGACACTTTCTGCAAGATTGGCATGTTGTGTTCACAACATCTCACTCTTCATCTGGGGTCTGCTCATCATCTCCATCCTCAGTACTCATCTCTCATCACTTCAGCTTGTCCCAGTGCGTGGCCAGGCTAAGTAGTTCAGCCTATAAGGCCTCGGGAGTTGCTCTGCTATCGAGCCTGATCAGTTTGGCGCTCATGGCACTGACTGCACCTGCAGGTACACCGTTACATTTCAAGCCATTGAAGTTCTGGGGATCAAGCAGGGCGAAATCTGTGTACAGTTCTCTGTTTTTAGCAAAACGTCGGGAAATACTTTCAATGATGGAATCCAGAATGACATTGTGCACTTGTACCTCATACTTGCTGTCAGCATCTGATATGGCTGTATCATCACATAACTCGCCTGGCATCCTTTTTGTCTTCTTTGGTCTCCGGTTTGGCAGCGTGTGTTCCTCCTCTGTGTCTGTCTCACACACATTTAATTCTCTATTGGCCCATTGCACAAATGCATCTGTTGCTGCCTTTACCCTCTTAAAATCCCTTGCATATTTTTTCATATTGTCATGTTTGCTTGTGACAAAGCGATGGGCCATGAGCAAATCCTTTCCACTTGTTTTTAAATACTTGGAAAGTGGAGTTGTTTGTTGGAAGATGCGTAAAAACGCCTGGACAGTGAGGATGGTTTGGTATTTCAGCAGAGCCTCTGCATAAGCATCGGAATTTGCACGCATCGCAGGGTCTTGAGTGTAACAACAAGATTAATGTAAAGACATCCCTCTGGATCCCCAAACTTCCCAAACACTGTTGTAAGCGCAGCGTCTTTGGCCCACCATGGGGTTTCGCCAATTGGTGACAGCCGCCTGTGCCGCACATCTTTGCTTACATCCTCCCATGCATTCATCCTTTTGATATGAATCTCTCAGCGATGTCGTGTAACAAAGAAAAAAGTGATGCACTCGATAGATTTTTCTTTTTACAATTTGTTTTATGGCGGGTTGAAAATACAGTCTGAAACAATTTGTATCCCACTACAACTTTTGCCAGGAAAATAGAAACTTCTCCATAATCACCCCTGTTATTAGTCATGATGTGAATATACACAAAATTAAATACTTGATGGTAGGCCGTCATCTGTGTGTTATGGACGGGGATACATATTTTGGCAGTCTGCATGTCCAGCCTGGTAGGACCAGTAGGCTACTGCTATCGCTTTTTGTTTGTGAAAATAATCAGAATCAGAATCAGAAAGAGCTTTATTACCAAGTAGTATTTTACACGTACGAGGAATTTGCTTTAGTGATAAGGTGCTACTCGTACACAAACATAACATAAATAAATGTAGACATATATAAATATGGAATAAACAAATAAACAAATGCAAGTAATATAAGAATAATAAAAGATGCTGTTTAAATGCAATGCATTATTAAATTGTTATGATAATAATTTACCCTTTAAGGAGGGCGACTCAGAACAATTTCCAGCAATATCCAAAGGCTATCCATGCAATGGAAACATGGATTACAAGGACTAAATATTGTCTCATAGTATACAGTCAATACAGTCTCGATGGCGTAGATATTTGTAGGAGCAGCTTGCTTGAAAAAGGTGACAGTCTGTCTCGATCTAGCTTCCAAACAGTAACTTGGACAACAAAGTGATCAACTACGTTGTCAGTTATAACATCGTCACACTATCACAAAATAAATGTTTGCTTTACGAGGAACGCTGAAACTGCTCATTTTGTTTAGACATTCTCAATTCAGTGCACTGAATAATATGAAGTTCAATAACACATAACATTAACGTTAGCCTATAAAAGCGTTCAAAAACCTCGTTGATAAAACAATAGATGAAACAATCCACATGTTTCATCATTTTTCATTTACTTTCGTGAAGTCGAAAGTCCGCGTTCACTGTTGAAAGCACGCGTGCTCCCGCGGCAGGGAAACATTTTCTATCAGGGATAACTACCTTGGCAAGACACCAGACAGTGGTGGTGTAACGTCCTAAAGGATCCGATTAGTTGAGACACATTTGTTCCGCCTTTCGCATCAGCACCATATCGTCGCAAGGAAGGTATATTACTATGATTTGTAGATTTTTCATTCAGAGGGGGCCATAGGGGGTCAAAGGTCTGTTTTACAGGGGCACTGGCCCCTGTTGGGTCCCCCCCAAAACCGCCACAGCTCCTCTGGGGTGTTTCAGTTTGGAGTCAGGCTGTCTGCTTGAGGGGTGATAACTGCCCCGTTCTTAGGGAAAGACAAAGGGGAGATGCTGTGTTCTTTCTTTTGGCATAAAAAAAATTAAGTGTTCACTGGTTGGTTCACTACACAATGATACGTTCCATAACCTGTCATCTTTGACGCACCTGCTCTCTTGCGATAGACATTTGATTTACATTGAGCATCTAACTTATATTTCCTTTGCTGATCCTTAAAAAGCAGGCGTCTGCACATTCTCTATGAGGGCCACTTCTCTCATGTTCCATTACTCTTTGATGCACATGTCTCCAGTCACGCATTCCCACTGTAAATGGGTTGACTTGTTTAGTAAAAGCCAAGCACACAGACCAGTACAGTGTGTGTGATCTGCAGGAGGCAGGAGTGACGCTTAACGACAAGTGTGAGTTTTCCAAGAACAGGATCAGGTTCCTGGGGCAGGTCATTGAGGCATCAGGAGTCAGCGCTGACCGTGATAAAGTGAACGCTGTAAAAGCCATGCCAGCGCTCAGTAACGTCAGCGAGGTGAGACGCTTTCTGGGGATGACAAACTATCTGCAGAAGTTCCTGCCTCACTTGCTGAGAGAACATGACCTCTCTATGACCCTAATGCTGAAACACTTGTCTCCGCTGACCCATCCTCATA